TTAAACTGTTCCATTGTGTGCTAACCATAGGCAGGGCTGTCGGGATCGTCTAGAAGGGAGGTGAAGACGGTGCCAGCTTGCTGTCATATGACAGTACCAAAACAAAGTACAAAAGAATTTGATTTTCCCATTTACCGGAATCGAAGCGCATTTAATCTGATTGCGGTATTACGTGTCATTGCACCAGGCCAGTATATAATTATAAATAAATGCGGCAATGAATGCTTGTCAAAAATACAATGCAGAAGAAGAAACAAACCGTCCTATCTGCACGATTTCGCGCAAAAAAAAAAAAAAAAAAATTTTAGGAAGACTACGTGCAAGAACAGTGTCAGCAATCCCTGAATGGTACAGCAAGCAGCTGCGAAGCACTGAAGTGATGACCCACTCTCTGGAACACAAAACTACCACAATTAAGTTTAAGCAGGCAGTAATACGAATACAGCGCAGTGTGCAACAACTGAGGGTGAATTTCGCTATCAAACAACTTAGTGCACAAACAAAATCGAGGTATATAACTCCATACATTTAGACAAATCACTAAACAGGCAGCAATTTCTACCGCCCGTCTCTCGAATCTCCTCTTCTCCGTCCTCTTAGAGGAAACAAAAAACCAATTCTTAAGTATGGAACAAGCCGAAGCAAAGGTACAGGCAAAAATACACAAATTAGGCAATACGCTAAAGTGGTCATGCCTTGAAGTGGCTAGAAGGCACACAGTAACTGAAAATGCGCATAAACTTGAACAATACACCTGATCTGTTTTTTGTTTGTGCTACAAACAGAGAAATGGTATTTGAGTGGAGAAGAGAGATTTTCATAAAAACGAGAATTTATGTAAAGCAGGCTTAACGTGTAAAAAAAACTGATGTCGAAAACAACAAAAAATGCGTGCTCTTTAAAAGTCTGTCGCTACATATTATAAGCAACATAAATCGGATCAAGAAGATCTCTCAAAAAAGCGTCCCGTAAATGCATTCGTTGCTTTTCTCCTCTGCTATTGATTGGTACCACACCGGGATCAACGATCACCACAACACCAACTATTACGTGATGTTCTTCCAAAACAGCCGATGTTATAGCCGGCACAAGATCCAACGCTTCCGTTTCCGCACTGTCTGTTTCGGCAACCACAACCAAAAGGTGCGTCCAAGTGAATACAGCACTAAAATTCTTCGCAAATTCAATCAAAAAATCAGAAATAACTTTTATAATCCAGTCAACTGCATTTAATATCCTGTAGGGTCGAGAAAAATGACCCTGTATGATGGATATTACTGCGAGCGAGAGGCAGTACACAGAGTCAGGATGGTCTGGCATGATTGCACTCGACAAGTAGCTGAATCTCAGTCACAATGAAGGCACCATATACCGGTCAGCAGGCAATTAGGGGACCACGTATGACCCTGTAAATTCAAATCCAGTTTTCCCCGCATGCCTGGATCTCACGTTGGGAAATGGAAGAAGGGCAACAAGACATCTAAGAAGTAAGAAAAGGCTTTTATATCTCAGCTATGTGATAAAAAGCAATGTTCCCTGGCGATGTTTCTAAGTAAAAAAGAAAGAACAACGACTTTTACCATTCAATAATTTTTCTGTGGGCTCGTATAACAGTAGCTTCAATATCAACGGGATGGTATCTCATTCCACGCAACATCAGTGCCTCATCCAATGCACCCACAACAAACACTGCGTCATGCAAATCTGCAACACTTTCTGTAAGAAAAGCAACAAAAACTACATGTTCAGCAGCCAATTCACCTCAACTCTCTGCAATCAAAACCAATTTCATGCACTTCTAGAACTCGCTTTAAAAAGGAAACCTCCATCAGCCGTTATGGACTGCGTTTGCTTCAAAAAACCGAGATATCCCGTACGGGCAAAACGCTTCCTCGTGTCACCAGTTGTTAGCCTGCAAACGAAATCAGTACGAAGCTAAAAAGAAGATAAGCTTTTTATATTTTCCATCCGTAGATTCGCAAGATCAATACGACTTTAATGCAACCGAGTTTTTTCAATACCGAGCCCCAGTAGTCTCCACCGATCCCAGTTCTTACAGTCCCAACAAAATTTAACGTTATCCCGTAAAATCCTTA